ATTTATTTCTGTCGCGCTTTATTACGTCGCATGTTTATATAACTAGACAGGCGGTTCGAACGTAACAACCGTTTATTCGATAGTTCCAGCGCACATAACGTGTCCCACGCGTCGATGGGTACATGCTTCGATTTTTCCGCCCACGAGAACGCAAGGAGAGACTCGTTCGCCGATAAAAGCCGTCTCCGGCCCGGCCAGCGTGGCCGCTTGATTTCCCGCTCCCGACACGATTCTCAGAATGGAATTGTCGACGATTGCCGCTCGTCAATTCTTCGGGTCAACAAAGCGGTCGACTACATCCACTACCAAGGTCTCACGAGTCACTAGTCAAGAGCAAACAGCAAATAACTCGCCTCAATCCTGCCAAAATGTCCTAACTTCCCTGGATGGTATCCCTTCGTTTTGTTCCTAACACGAGAATACTCGACCACGTGTCTATGATCGTGACGTGATTTCAACAAGACTAGGACGACTACTCCAGAAAGAGAGAGAGAGAGAGAGAGAGAGAGAGAGAGAGAGAGAGAGAGAGAACAAAGGAGAAGAGCCGAAGGAAAAAGGTAAGAGCATAAATGGCCTGCGCGATCGATCGATTCCTTCTTACTTCCATGACGTTTTCCTCTTTTCTCACCCTTCTCCTCTGTACCAACCGTCCCCGAAAGTACGATCGTCCATCAGATTGAAATTTTCCATGGATCACGAAGGTGATCCTAGGGATCCGTTTCCCATCAGCCGGTTCTCGAGACCCCGTAGTTACGGATGTTACTTCTCTTACGTTAAGCGTAGCTGATAAGGACGCAGGACTCTTTGCTGCCGCCGCTATTAGTAAATCGAAAGTGGTCTCGTTCTTGTTTTCTCGTCTGGGTTATTGCGGAAAATATCAGGGAGCCACTTAAACGAACCGTCGATTAATTTTTCGGCGTCCATTAAAGCTGAGATAGAGAGGGATCTAAGTTGTCGTTATCGTGACTATATCAATGAAATAGAATAAATAGATAAACAGACAAATAGATAAATAACTAAAAGAAGAGAGACGAAGAAAAAGATTCGAATCGGTAATAAAAATGCAAATCACGAAAAATAAATCGCTTGTGGAACAAAGGTCCGATTCGAACGAGGAAATCCATCTCTCCTTCGGACAGAGTCGTATAAAACCGGAAGGACGAAATGGGCTCGCGGCTCGCTATTAATCAGAATCTCGTGAATTAAAGTCAAGACCCGAGATGAGTGTTCGCGAGTGTTGAATCAGCTACCGAAATTCAGCCGTTGGAAGACCCGCCGACGTGGAAATCTTCCACGTGCTGTACCTTTGCGGAATTTCGTTGCTACGTAGGTAGTACTTGATCGTGACGATGTCATGGCACAGGAGGAGAGACAAGAGATTGTACGAAAATGTCCGTTAACAGAGATGCTGTCAGTAGCACGCGAACGAACGGGCGTACTCAACGCTGTCGGGTACGGGACAATAAGACATCATCGTCCGTAGCGAATTACAATCTGTGTCTCCGATGTTGGCGGCGTCAGGCCGAAATCATTTCAAGCTCGGTAGGTGTATTTTCAATGCGTATCGAATCGGGCAGATTCGTATTAGACATCGCGTGCAGTTTTATGAATATTTTAAGCCACGGCTGACCCAGATAGTCCTCTCCGCAACACGAAAGGCAAAGTAATCTGACCTCATGCATTGGTACTTCGAGGCTCGTTTACTTCACTCCGTCGCGTTTTTCGCTCGTCGCCATCGTCGCCGTCATCATCGAGCATATACGGTTACATATCATCTTCATCATCTCTTCCATTCGTCATCTTTCATCCATTCTAGACCGAATCTCCTCGCCCACGTTGTCTCTTCCTCGCCTCTTTTATACTTTTTACACATGTGCGCGCATACATTTACCATCTTTTTTTCTCTTTTCCGCATTGACGCTTTATCTCTGCGAATGTCACCGCTACCGGGAGCGCGCGGTTCGTCGATCGCTCGTCCAGAAAAACGTGAAGGGAACGATTTACAGCGTGATTTGTGGATTCACCCATTGTTGCCGCAATCGTGCGGTTTAAAGCGGAAAGTCGAGCGAAAGAACTTTGCCGAGCGAGAATGCCTTAACACATCTCTTGTCGTGGGATAAATGACGACTTGTGCTCGCTTTTGTGCCCGTGGTTGCAGATCATAGATCACACGGTCATCAACTTCTGCTCTCGTACCGGAGAATAACGTAGTATTTCACGGAGAAGCGAAAACGTAATGGATACGGGTATAAAGAATATAAAATTGTCGCGCAAAATACTTTATTTTGCGAATGTGAATGGGAGATCGTTAACGCAAGGAGTCTCTCTTCTCGAAGATCGCGTAAATGCTGCCGTGTCAGGCTTCCTCCAAGCAAAGAAAAAGGGCGAGAATCAGCTGAATATTTCGTCAAGGTCGTTGCCTTTCCGAAAGCTTGCTTCTATGTGTGTGCACGCAGCATAGTGTCGTCGTAAACCCATGTAGACCACATCGCCCACTCGAAGACTCGGCTACCCCGAACGTTTCATTGAGCGTCGAGGTTTGGCCGCGCGCCAAGTGACGTCACAAGCGGATGAGGATCCGGGTATTGGCGATGGCGATGTCGTGGTCGAGAACGACACCGGACGTGATTTCGACCTCGTTCGTAGAAAGATCGTACGAATGCGAATTTAAATCCTTAGCAAAGAGATTGTCTTTTATCAGAGAGCAAATTTTCCTTTGCATTCTTTCTACTAGAGTTTTCATTGAGGGAGAAAAGTTATGCGATCAAACACGGCGTCGAACTCTGTAATCTTTCGGGTGTAAAAAGGACAGCTTGACGAAAGAGATACTCACAAGGAGTAGCGTTAGTCAATGAATGCAAAAATGGAACTGTGTTCTCACACATAATAAAATTGTTTAATATTTGTAGTATAATCTTATTTGAGTTGTTCGTTTTTTTGAAAGATGCTGCAGATATTTCGCGCGGAAGAAGCAAACAAGCGTAGGTCTGATTTTAGTCGTCTTTTTTACTTGTTTGTTGAGATTGTATATGTATATATATTGACCGTATTTCTTTTAATACTCTCCCACAAATTATTTGCACTCATTAAAAATACAATTTCGCTAAATATTAATTTTAATGAAATGACTTAGAAAACTGTCGCGCGTATTAATTGGAGAATACCTTTTCGTAGAAAAAAGTTCAAATCCGATTTATGATACTAATAATGAGACGTCCTGCCATGAAGAGGACAACGGGAAATCAACTTTAAGGCACTCTCTTCGGAGCGATCTCTTCGGGGAATTTGAATAACAACCAAGAAAGAGGAATAAAAGAAAAGAAATTGCTTCTTCGTTTCTGGGTTGCGCATGAGTGACTCCTGTCTAGTCATTTAAAAGAATGACTGAGCGCTCCAAAGAGTTATTATTCTCGCCAGGGAAAGGGTGATTTTGCCGAATGAATACCTTGCATTTCTTCATTTCTGCAACCTTGAAATGAAGCATTCGGGCAATTTAATTAGTGAAAATTCACTTTTGTCGTCGTGCAGAAGTGCAGTCAACCGTCCTTCACAAACGAAGGCAGAAAGATAAAGGAAGCGAAATCGCAGGAAGAAATCTCGGTAGGATCGTAAACCTCAAAAGGCATACCGTAGTAGTACAAGAAAAGAATCTTAATTTTTCTAAAATCTCTTACTATTATACTTATATCGAAAATCAGACCGGAGAAGATCCAAGTACACCAATTTATCGTATGAGTCGCCAAGTGAAATGTAATTTGTGTTACGTGAATCGACATCCCCAAGTTCCGGTAACTTACGTTTCCAGAGCTTGAGAGCACGCCCGATGGAAGCGGCGATAAGAGAAATTGGGTCCCTCGTGGCTGCTATTAATATCTAATTATGTACGCTAATTATGAACGCAATATGCACTATAAATGTATCTTAGAGAGAGAGAGAGAGAGAGAGAAGAGAGGGAGAGGAAGAGATAAATCATCATCTCCGCTATCGCAACTGCGATGCTTGCTCACGTCAGCGACGTAAATTACGCGCTATCATTAATCACCGTATTCTTCGAGTACTCTACATTTGCACATGATTGAGTTCGTGAAAACACACAACGAATTAAGTGACATTCGTATAGGTCATCGTTACGTCACCTTCGCAAATTCAATTTAGACACGCGCGACATACAATATAATAAATCGACCTCACGATCGATCACGCATCGAGCGTGACGTCGATTGATTGTGTCACGTTTTCTGTGTTTATAGCTTACTCATCGTTTCCGAATTTATAGTACCTCATAGAGGAAAATCAAAAAATCATATAAAGTTTTCACATCGACGATGATAGAAAGCTATGACGGACATTTACTGAACAATAATGTGTTGCCGAGGATAATCCACTTAGGATGCGATTAAAGTCTCACGAATGCTCCGAAACATTTGATTGATCAATCAGAAGAAAGAATTTTATTAATTGATCAATCAAAGAATGCTTTAAAGCATTGTAACATTTGTAGCATCATTGTTGACCATATCTTTATTCCGCCAAACCAACGGATGACCCTGAATAGCGTGCCAAATGGTGATTTGGTTCCGTTCGATGAGCAAATACTCAACGAATTTCATTTCGCGTAAGATGCTACTAAAGACGAAGAAAGAGCTGAAAGGGAAGCGTATCTAATGGAAACATGAGCAGATTTTTGGGAAAGATCATTACGTGCAGAGAGTGCTTAAGAAATGCTCGTAAACCGTAATCTGCGTATACAATAACGTTCCCTTAAAAATAATCAATCTCTACTTCGCGGTGAGAAATAAATAAACGAAGTTAAACGGCTCTTATCGGTTGTATCGAGTTATAGCGAATCGTAAGAAGCATTTGTTATTGTCATCGCGAGGCAGTAAGCAGCAGTATCATCGAATGTTTCAATCATTTTGAATATTTTAATTGCTTTGATGTTGCAAAATGTGAGCGAGTGTAATATTGCAGTGTATGGCGAATGTATTGCGTTAGTGTACCGTGTCAGTAATGATGTCTGGCTGTGTGTTACTGTTGGTGTCACACATATCGGACTGTTCGGATTGTCGATCCTGTACTTCTGCCGTACGACTTAAGTTGCACTGATTTCTCGTTACCTCGTTCATGTAGGACACTTCTGATAGTGGAATGTAGTAGTAGCCCAGAAAGCGGTCCCACAAGAATCCCTTGCACCATACCTCCACCACGAGCCCGGCATTCATGTCATTCGTTTCGCTGCGTAACAAACAAGTTCCATTAACCTTTTGCGAGACCACGAAGAAATATTACTTCGTGAAGTAAACAGCTATGCTTTCAGTACAAAGTAGATTAAACGAAATTTAACAGCGAGACTTTAGCGAAGAATTCACTGGCGTCAAATGCTGCGTAAGCGAGCCAAGATCAAGAATGATATATCTTTTTGTGTAGTAACCGTCGACATTGCACAACAAGACAATCCTTTTTAATCCGCAAGCCAATTTTACTTTAGCTCTACTTTATATTACTTTTTTTTAATAATCTATTTAACAACCCATTCGAAAAACAAAGACTGTAATGGACCGAGGATCTCATCTCAAACAAAAGGAGTTAAGCTAAGGATTGATAATACCGAGCCATGAAAAAGAAGCACGTTTTTTCCTCCATAAATTTATTGAAAATATTTGCGATTCTTTGCTCAGCAAATTTGGTCGACGGACAAGATTTATTTCGTTTAATTCATTTTGCTAAGATAGAGTCCCATTAAATAAGTGTATGATTAGTCTCAGATTCCTCTAGATGTGCACAAATTACCGGTTGTCCTAGATATTTTAGTGCCGGTGCACACGCGATAGTTCGCAATGTTTTCGAAGTGTGTAACGCCATAGTAACGGTGCAGAAAATTTTCGAATTGTTATAGAAGCTCGTTTAATTAAACAACATTTTTAACAAGTTTCTCAAGCTGCGCCTAATTTCCCCGTAAAATTAATTATCGATAACTTACAAGAGAAAGTCTTGTTCCCAGCATGGATTGGCCCCTTTCACAGTAACTGTCGTTGACTTCACGTTTTGCAGCTTTAACGTTACGTAGGAGTTGAACTGATCCGCTGAAATTCGATAATCTATTTTTTAGTCGACCAAAATACGATGTACGTTACAAGAACGAATACCTCAACATACGAGCGAAATACGTTATATTAAATCATAACATTCATAACGATGAAACATATTAAATATCTTGATTAAAGTACGTCACATTTATCACTTTTAATGGAATCGCTTGAAGCAGATAAATTACGTTTCGACAGAAAAAAAAATATCGTAATTTTAGTTCCCTATAAACTCGTAATATCAGCGAATGGGATCGTTTTGTTCGCAATTTAAGAGCGATCCTGATGACATCCTCGCGCGTTTTATGTGTTCAAGAATGGGTGCACGAAGGGGGACGAACTGTTAAACTCCAATAAGATCCGCCCACACCTTAGGCAACTCCAGTACACGCTCTCAGCTGCACGCCTTCGATAAGTCGCGCAAAAAGCATGGGCGAGATTTTATGACCCGCGACACGATGTTTCGGGCGCACAGTAGTGCGTCACCCTCGACATTTTACTTTACGAGACACGAAAATTGTCTCCGAAGCGACTGACGAAATACGTTCGCAATCCACGGCTCACCTCGGTAACATTCGACCAATGAGCTTGGAAAAGAGAGAATTATTAATAAAAAATTAGACGCGGCATAAATAGATCTTAGTGAAAATAACGTGCAGCTCTTTCTTGACCCAATAAGCTACCAGATATGGAACAAGTCAAATGTCGTTTGCGTGATGAGAATAAGCCCCAAGATATTCGCGTTTTGGGGTGAGAGATACCACAGTGAATGTAAAAATGTATGATCAATTTTGATAAAACTAAATGTATTCTCGATAGGGGAGAAGTTAGTATCGCATTGCTACGGCAACAAAAAATAAAATTTTTCAGAAAATAAATTTCAATGTTTTAAATTTTAAAAATGAATTTCGAGAAGTAATATATATATATATAATTGAAAAATTTTGGTGTAATAATTAATACTGATTATAGAGAAATAAGAGTATATTCAATATACAAGGTAATCTAAAATAACGTACACTAATCATACAGTGCTATTCCTACTATTAAAAAAACTGAGTCGGAAAGTCCTTTAGCATTTTGCAATTTTCGCAACAGTTAACAAGATATTAATTACAAAAAATCGCTGAATATTAGTTTTCAATAATTTTTTATTTAAATACTATTAACTTTACAGAAAAACTGCTAGAGATAAAAATTGTTTATTTTCTTCTCATAAAGTTATGAGAATTTTTTCAGAATTTTTTAATACCGTATTTTCTCATGGTGATAAAAATAAGAAAATGCAATACTAACAAGTTGATAAAAAATTCTGAAAAAATTCTTAGGGTTTTATGAGAAGAAAATAAATGATTTTTGTCTGTTGCAGTTTTTCTGTAAAGTTGATAGTATTTGAGTAAAAAATTATTGAAAACCAATATTCAACGATTTTTAGTAATTAATATCTTGTTAACTATTGCGAAAATAGCAAAATGGTAAAGGACTTTTCGACTCAGTTTTTTATTAGGAATAGCACTCTATGGTTAGTGTATGTTATTTCACACTGAAAGAAAACGAAATAGTTCTAGCAAATTTATATAAATTTGGCAACTTTTGCAATTGAAGTACCTGTAACTAGTTTTACAAAGTAATAGAAACTAAAGTAGTGCTGAAAGAATATTATAAAAATATAGTCACGGTAACAAATTGTAAGCACTATTAATTGGTAGTGAAATAGTGACTCAACTACATTGAGTAGTTACTTGGAATTCATACAAATAGATATAACAATTACATTTTTCTAGTTTAGACAAAAATTTTTAAAGTGTCGCTCAGTACGAGTAGTACGCGGCTTTGTCACCAGAGGGACGTAGCGGAGTTCAGTTTCTCCTAAGAAGGAAACCACTCAGCTTACGATAAAAGGCGCAGCGTTGGTTTCAAACTTGGAAGACAAAAATAAATAAGAAATGCATACACAAACTTGTAAATATGTATTATAAAGCTTTAATAACAACAATAAGTAAATTAAATAAACTAAGAAAATATAGTAATATTAACCATTTATAAATTGATTATATGGTTAATGTACTATATTTTCTTAGTTCACTTAATCTAGTATTCTTATTAGAATTTAATAATATGTATATAGTTGAGGCGCTATTTCACTACAAATTTACAGTTACTGATACGACTTTTTTCTCTGAGTACAGATACACCCTGTATATTCAAATATGTTCTTTCTTTTTTCATGTTTCAGTTTATTTTCTGCAAGGAAACAATGACAATTTTTTAGTTATGTCGTTGTTATAGCAAATGAGCGATACGAATGAATGTATAGTCAGAACATTGAGTAAATAAATTCTTAAAACTACATGCATTTATGTGTATTCGCGATGCGAACGAGGACGTTATCGTTACGCTTTTCAATACTTGCGACAATTGCGTGAAATAATGGTCTTCATAAGTCCATTCTGTATAATGACGTACATGTGATATGCGAATGAATATTTAAAAAAGACATAATATGAGTATACAAGCGAAGACTGTCAAGATTACATTCGTCATCGTAGGAAATATTGAATGATGCGATGAATGACATAAATTCAAAGTTTTTCCGATGTTATTGAAATTATCAATTTATCTGTTAAAGAAGTTTCGAAAAATTATAGAAAGTTTTTAAATATACGATATGTATCATTTTAGATTTATTTAAATTCGATATATTTATAATCTTCCACACGGGAATACGTTACATCTCCACATGGAAAAATTATTTTGGTATAATCGGAACGTCACGATATTCTGCTTGAGCAATCGCATAATCCGAAACTTGGCACTATTCCAATCGCGAAGTGCAATAAATTGTTCGCAGACTTTAGAAGCGAAGCGTGAATAAAGACCTCGGTTCTGTGGTTTGTCTCAATCCCAATTTTGAACGCCCGGTTCCACACGTGTTAATATTTCGCTCGTATATCGTTTGGTAATTAGAAAAGAATAATTAGGAAACAAATCAATGGATCAAATGAGTGAATTTTCCATCGTAATTTTTTCTATTCTTCCCATATACGAACCATCCTCGCAGATGAACCGCGCCTTCTTCACTGCAACAGAAAAAGCAAAGAAAGAATTATACATTACAAGTCTTTGAAAGAAACACATAAATAATAATATCTATATTTACTATGTTTAAACAACCTGAGTCTGAGTCTAAAAATCACAAAATTTTACGTGGAAATAAATTGCTATAATCAGTACGTTATTGTTAATTATCCCTTTGTGCAATTATTTCACTGTTTTTGCTATAAAAAATCATTTACACCACAGGATGTTTATTGAAATCTTGTAAAAAAAATTTCCTGAAATTTCTGAATTTTATAAATATTTTTGTTAAAAATTCCAAAATTAGAGATTTTTTAAATAAAACTTTGAAATAAATTGGAGTGCAAAAGTAACACAAACTATAAATTGGAAATTAATAGAAGATAAGGATTTGACAAGATAATATCTCAATAAACACCAATTAACAGTAACGTAACTGTTAATTGTAATTTCTCACTCAACAATATAATTGTAATACAATACATATATACGTAACAATTATATTGTTGAGGGAAGAATTATAACTATCAGTTATGTTACTATTAATTGGTGTTTGCTGGGATCCATTATTTTCTACAATTGAGACCGCGAAATATATATATATATATATATATATAGAACGGTATATAGGCAAGGTTTACTACAATACAGTATCCGTAAACTACTCTATTCTGCTTGTCACCTTGATTTCTTTTATAAAAACTTATGATACGCACGAGAGTGCACATGAATATACGCGGATGTATATTTATTGCTAACCAATTGTCAACATTTTGCATCATCAAGAAAAAATAATGCAATAATGTTTTCAAAAAAAGACAGAATTAAAATTTAAAAGTAAAATTCCCAAAATTTTCCTGAATACCGATAAAATTTCATAAATAGCCTTCATTTTCAAAAATAGAAAAGAAACCTCTTATATAAATTCCAGGTTTTCCCATGTAATAAACACCCTGCACTAATGCACTCACGGGTATTAAAGCGCGAATTATCGGTACTACGCACATAATTACTCTGATCGATTACGCTTAATAAGATTTAAATAGACATATAGGTTATGCGCGATGTAAAATCAACCGCACGCCCGCGGTAATTACCTTCGATATGTCACACGTGTGCAAGCTAAAATTGAATTTTCGTCAAAGAAAATTTAATCCGCGCATTATGTTCTTTTATTGTAACTTGTATCGCACGCCTATCGACTTTCCCGTCAATTATTTATAAAGGTCGTATTCCGCAAACGCATTACGGATTCAGCTAACGCGGATAAGTAAAACGAATCGAGTATTACAATCTGCCGGGGTTTGACAGTTCCTTTTTTAATACCCAGTCTAACGGATAGGTCACGGAACGACCTTGTCTATAAGAACGTACGTATGTACGCGAATGTATGTGCAAGTGGAGCGCAACTCCGCTGTGCCGGTAGCGATTTGAAGCATTGACCTGTGCTAATAAATGCCAGTGTCTACATGAGTGTCGGAGTCTACATGAGTGAGTAACTGCCCTTAGGATTAATCCCGTCACCACAACGTGAGACGGCAACATCCAATATATCTCGTACACAACGAAGGATTGGGGCGAGTGTGTCGTGGGGATGAAGCGGGTCATCCGTGTATCCGCAGGTCACAGTTCATAGAAGGACTTTTTCCCTAAGCTCGCGAGGTATTTTTCCCAGCTCGACAGACGCACCTTTCTATTTTGTACGCGCACGCATAGCGCGCGATTAATTAAGGGAGCGCACTTGCGGCTGCGGGAATATTCTCGTCACTGTTATAAAATTGTTGGTTGCAGGAATGAACTAACGCTGATGTCACGCAAACAGAAGAGCACGCTACGGACAACGTATGATGCCGAGAGAATAGTGAATCGGCTGTTAAGGCAGGAGATTCTTTCATAACGCATAAATGCGCTCGAAACACAATAGGTAGTAAGCTTTCAGCCTTTAAAATTTGACCAATTATAATCGATTATTATTGTCACATTTGACTGATTAATTTCTTAAGGCGGGAGCACAGATTCTTACATAATACATTACGCATAAAGCAAAGAAAGTGAATTAATCAGTCTTTTATTTTATGAAAAGAAAGGAAATGAAAAACTTTGATTGATTAATTTTTTTATGTATTATTATACATGTTGTGTAAGATTCTGTGCTCCCACCCTGATGGGCCTTCTACAATAAGCCATTACTTAAGCTTCAAGTCTCAAGTCGTAAGAAATTAACTAATCACAGTCGAATATCAGAAAAATAATCGACTATGATTGATCAATTTCTAAGACTTAAAATTTAAAGCTTAGATAATGGCTTATTGTAAAAAGCCCATTAGGCTTACTGCACCTATTGTGTTTCAGGACCAACGCATGAGACATAAAAAAATCAACCAAGCAGTCCTTTATTTCATCAAAAGAAAGGAAATGAAGAACTTTGATTGATTCATTTTCTTATGCATTATACGTTATGCAAGACTTTGTACTCTCGCCCTTACATCCACTTCCGTAGCTGGTTGCTTAACAAGTGTACATATATACATCGAAAGTCTCTTTTTTCCCTCTTTCTCTCCCTCCCTCTCTCTCTCTTTATCCAACTAAATAAACTTCCTAACGAATTTATTCTCACTCACTTAAAAGTAATCAAACTCACACAAACGGCACACCATTTGCTTGCGCTTTGGCAGTCGGTCAGTTATGATTGAAATCCAATATGCAATGAGAAAATCACAGAAAAATGCCGATATTAAACTGACTTAAAGGATGCTTCAGTAAAATGCAAATACACGCGTATGTAAATAGTACATATCGATATACTCGGAATAATTGAGTTAATTCCGACAAGACGCAAGCGCGTTTCCGACATTTGGCCCACATCCGGATCCTTCGGCATCACTTACAGTCTGTCACACTGTTAACGACACAAGAACGATGTGTACGGAAAACGTGCATTGGCGCAAAGTATTGTAAAATGAAGCATCGTTGTATCGGAGTTACATCGCGCGGAATTGATAGCTCGGGGCGACCGATGATGTACACAACGGGTATAACAGGAGGATGCTCGCCTCACGTGTGCTATATGCACGCGCGCGTAGGCAGATGCATGCACGCGACGAAAGAAAAGTGAAACAATGACGTCAGCTTTAACGCTTCAGTTGCGATCTTTTACCTTCGAATAACTCGAGACAATGGACGCCCAGGGTATGAATACGTGCCAAGACCGTGGTATCGTGTCACACACGCGTGCGCGCACTCAAATGCACACACACACACACACACACACATACACAAGCGCTAGAGGAACTCGTCCTTTACTGTGTTTCTGTACAAACGCGCCTTTGTATAGCACGTACACGTGCGGAGAACACGCGTATATACGTGACATACCGCTTACTTTTCATCCCGAAGCAGTTTCCTTCGGCGACGATGCCGTCGTGCTGTGGATACAGAACGATAGCAACCGTGGCGACGGATAGGAGAGAGGGTAAACGGGGTGGAAAAAACCGAGAGCGTGCATCATATGTATATATTATTTATAGGCCAAGCCGGTTAAAGACAATATTTACGCGAACGCGATATCTTATCGAGCCCTTATCAAGGTATCGGCTCAAGTTCTGTGGGATGACCAACCAAGGTTGTCACAAATGCCCCATCTTAAAATTTCCTAACTTTTCCCTGATTTCCAGACAAAATTTCATGATTTTCCCTTATTTTCAATAATATTTAAAAATTTTTGTCTTTTCATCCTAATTTTGAAACTGTTAAATGTTTTATTAAGAAATCAATTTAATATAGCAATGTAAATTACTATTAATATTGCTGACACTGCTTGCATTTTTAATTGTCAAGTTAAAGTCAAGAATTTTTATTTTCTAGAAAATTTGGCAAAATTCCCTAGCTTTTCCCTGATTTGCCTAATCATTTTCAATTTCCCTAACAATTCCCTGATTTCCCGTTTCGTGGCAACATATATTTCTCTCCTAAAGCGCCAATCTTTAACCCCAGCCGATATCTCTGTACAAAGGTGAATTGGCCGGCGATCCTTCGGTTGACCTCTATTACGTTCTCGTACTATTACGTTCTATATAATACGGAATAGTACCATACGTACATTCAATGAATATTCTCAAAATAGAATAATTCTTAACATAATAAATTTCTCAACGAAGAATATTCTTTTCTTCTTGAAAAATACTTTCAAGCTTTTCCCAAGGTACAATATTTCTCAGAACAATATTCACTCGAGACATTCTCGAAGGCATATTCTTGCCTTATATCATTCTTTTAAAGGAGGTTGGCTTTATTTTATCGATCACCAATTATTATAAAATGTTAAAGCAACTTGAATGAATTTATATATATTACACAAAAAAGATTTATACATATATACAGGGTGTTTCCAAATTAAATGGCAAAACTTCGGGAGCGTGTAGAGGAGTAAAAAACTAAGAAAAAAAGTCCTATAGACATATGCTCCTTTTTGCTTTGTTTCGCAGGAAATCACGAAAAAAGAAAAAAATATATTTAATTTATTATTTTAATTATTTTATTTATAAACTTTTTAATGAAGATTTTGTTCGAAATGTGCACCTCTTGCAGCAATACAAGCATTGCATCTGTCAAACACGGCTCTTGTAGCAGCCAGGCACTGTTCTTGCGATATTCTGTTCGCTGCAGCTACGATACGATTTCTCAAATGTTGCTCAAATGTTCCCTGCCTGCAAATCTCTTCGTAACGCTGCTTGAAATCGGTTGTTTTCTTGTCGAATTGAAAATGATCCAGTCTCTCGCAATCTATTAAATGTCAACATAAACACTCTTCGGTTTGGCACTCTTCTGTTTGGAAATCGTCGTGCATATTCTCGCACCGCCTTTAAAGCATTACCGTTGCAGAAACCGTATACAAAAACCATATCAGCATATTCACTATTAGAATACGTACGCGGCATATTGCAAAAGACAAAATTCATCTACTGTTAAAGGCTTTCAAAGAGCGACTGACAAATTCATAACA